ACAATAATTCAAAGACTGTTTGGACTTGACATTTGTTCACTGTAACTTTGTTATGTTAAAATATTTAAGAAATATATGATGTTAGTTTTATTGTAAAAGAAAATAGGAATGTACAGATTTCAAAGGAGAATTTAGTTCAAGTTGAATGAAGAATAATTCGAATTTGGACTAGCGTCGTTTTATAGTTTATGATCTTGTTGAAAGTTGGTTTACAACCTTAAAATTTTTTTTTACTTCCTTCAAGGCTATTCTACACTCTTAGTTTGTTTTACAGTATTCTAAAAAATTTTCTGCTACCTTCAAGTTTGTTATATAACCTTAAAGTATACTTTACAACCTCAAAGAATACCTTAAAACCTCAAAATATACTTTATAACCTCAGAGTATATTTTAGAACCGTCAAAGTAAACTTTTAAACTTCAAAATATATTTTACAACCGTTAAAGCATACTTTACAACCTTCAAGTATATTTACATCCTAAAAGTATAACTTAAAACCTCAAAGTAAAATTTACAAGCTTAAAGTATATTTTAAAACTTTGAAAGTAAACTTTACAACCTCTAAGTATATTTTACAACCGTTAAATCATACTTTACAACCTTCAAGTATATTTACATCCTAAAAGTATACCTTAAAACCTCAAAGTAAACTTTACAACCTCAAAGTAAACTTTACAACCTCAAAGTATATTTTACAACCTCAAAGTATACTATACAACCTTAAAGTATATATTTTAGTACCGTGAAGAAAAACTTTACAACCTCAAAGAATATTTCACAACCTTAAAGTATATTTTAGTGTTGTCAAATTAAACTGTACAACCTCAAAATTTATTTTGGAACCATCAAAGTAAACATTACAACCTTAAAGTATACTTTACAACCTTAAAGTATATTTTAGTACCGTTAAAGGAAACTTTACAACCTTAAAGTATATTTTAATAGCATCAAAGGAAACTTTAAATCCTCAAAGTTTATTTTGTAACCATCAAAGTAAACTTTACAACCTCCAAGTATATTTTACAACCTTAAAGTATATATTTTATAACCGTCAAAATTAACTTATTACAACCTTAAAGTCTATTGTACAACCTTAAACTATATTTTAGTAACGTGAAGGTCAATTTTACAACCTTCAAGTATATTTACATCCTAAAAGTATACCTTAAAACGTCAAAGTAAACTTTACAACCTCAAAGTATACTATACAACCTTAAAGTATATATTTTAGTACCGTGAAGAAAAACTTTACAACCTCTAAGTATATTTTACAACCGTTAAATCATACTTTACAACCTTCAAATATATTTACATCCTAAAAGTATACCTTAAAACCTCAAAGTAAACATTACAACCTCAAAGTATACTTTACAACCTTAAAGTATATTTTAGTACCGTTAAAGTAAACTTTACAACCTCAAAGTATATTTTACAACCTTAAAGTATATTTTAATACCGTCAAAGAAAACTTTACAACCTCAAAGTTTATTTTTTAACCATCAAAGTAAACTTTACAACCTTATAAAGTATATTTTAGTACCGTTAAAGTAAACTTTACAACCTCAAAGAATATTTTACAATCTTAAAGTATATTATTTTAATACCGTCAAAGTAAACTTTGCAACGACAGAATTTATTTTGGAACCATCAACCTTAAATGTTATTTTACAACCTTCAAATAATTGTTTATAATAAAAAAATTATAATTATTACTGATAAATTGTAGAAAAATTCATTTATGATAGATTCTAGTTCAACCGAATACAGGCGTTGAGAAAATAATTGCTAAATTTTAAATGCCCCTTAAAAAAAATTATTTTTCCTGTTTTTGAAAAAAAAGAAGAAAAATGATTTTTTTTTTGAGTCATGTCACAGCTTTCTACCCCAGGACGAAAAATCGTTTAACGAACCGCAAAGAGGCTGGTGTATTTTATACCCCAGTTGGCCATTATGATTTTTGCCGCCCCTTAATGTAATAAATATCTTTTTTTCTATGCGAGCCCCCTGCCAATTATACTTGGCTGATTCTCGGCTTTGGACAGTTATAGACACTATAGTATCAAAAAAAGAAAAAAAAACTATATTACTATATAGATAGTGCATTGATATGAGTTAGGACGTGCGAACATACGGTTGACAACTCTCCCCACCTCTTTTTTTTTTGTTCTCTCACTATACCTATATATACTATATATTATTGTATATCCCAAAGGAACCCCAACCCCAAATGTCTCGAGTGCTTGGGACACCGTGACTGCATTATTTTATTAACGCTAGTCATCGATGGCATCACTGTAAACACATTTTACAGATTTCTCCATATTAATAGAATATCAACTGGCGGAAGTGACGTTTTCATTTTGTAACAGGTGTTCAGAGTCATTTATTTAACACGTTAATTATAATTTCATTAGTCTAGAGGTTTTTGTAATTCCATTTTTCTTTCTAATTATATTTTATATAGTATAAGATTATTATATATACGCTACACGAGAGAAGGGATCTTACGTCAAACAAAAATTTAGGTTATGTTTGTGATTTTCTATAAGTGAAAATACTCGCAGAGAATCAAATTTTAATAAAATAATTATGTTTTATTATTACATTCAAAAAATTCAATAAAAATTAATATTTGTTTTATCTAATTAAAAAAAGGGACCTTACGTCAAAAAAAATTTATATTATATTTAGCGATAGCTTTACCTTGAGTTTTTTTTAATTAGGCAAAGTCAAAATTTATTGAATTTTTTTAATGTAATGGATGAGACAAGCATAAATGCGTTTTGAATTAAGAGCCGATTCTTTGTGAGTATTTTCACTAGAAAAATCACAAACATAACCTAAAATTTTTTTGACTTAAGTATAGGTACATTTACCCTCACAGCACCAGATATCCTAGGATATTCCAAAAACATCCCTTGGATATCCTAGGGATATCCCAGAGATATCCTAAGGATACTTTAAGGATATCCAAAGTAGCGACGGTTAGGATATCCTAGGGATATCTAAGGATGTCCCTAGGACATCCCAGGGATATCCTAATTATTTCCCCGGATATTATTAGGATATCCTGTGGATATCCTTAGAACGTCCCAAGGATATCCTCAGGACGTCCAATTATCCAATATCCCTTGAATATCCTCAGGATATCCTCAGGATATCCCAAAATATCCTACGTGACGGCCGTTTGGATGTTCTGAGGATATCCTCAGGATATCCTATGGACGTTTTAAAGATATTCTACATTAGTTTAGGATATCCTGAGGATATCCTTTTGTTGTGAGGGTACCCCACGGTATTCTGACTTACTCCATTTTTTTCTATACATAGAAAATAAATTAATTTTAAAAAAAATTTTCTCGATGGATGTAAAAACCGATTTGTTTTACTATCCAATTAGTTTAGTTATTGAATTGCACAAGATATGTGCAGTCGATAAAATTAAATAGATTTTATCGTCTGTTGGTTATAATAAGGGAAATTTTCCACTATATATATATAATATAACGAACACGACTATATATATATATTATGTGTGGTTGTTGGTATATATACAGAGGGAGAGTTAAGCAGTTAAATACGGTTTTGAGTTGCTATCAATGAAACTTGAAGCTTTGATAGAGACGCGTGTCTGGCATTAACAGGCTACCATTTAGCTTTGCCAGATGAAATCACACATCAATAGATTTTAGTCTCTTTAAAAGCACATAGTTAATGTAAATTTTTTTGTATTCAAATATAATGAAATTACCTCATTAAAAAATTATTAATTATCTTCCTAAAATTGACCAAAAAAAAAAAAAAAAATTATGACAACAAAACATTTTGATTGGTAAATTTTTTTTGTTATAGCAACAAAATTTTGATTGTCTCTAATAATTTATAGACTTTATTTTGGTTAAGAAAACATAATTCTTTTATTGAAAGAATTTGGCTGAGTCAAATTTTGTTGACTTAACAAAAAATTTTGGTTAAAATGCAATCAAAATTTGTTTGCTGCAACAAAATTTTCATATTTCCTATATATTGTACTTTAGTTATAGCACAACCATAAAATTCGGTTAAGACAACAATATTTTTTTTTATTTGATTCTGTCAAAGTTTTTTTGTGTTAACTAAAATTTTATTGGGACAACCAAAATTTTGCTGTTGCAACAAAAAAAATTTACATAATACTTTTAACAAAAATTTGAATTTTGAACTGAAAACTTTCTTAATTATACAGTGGACCAACAATGGATCAGTGCGGTGTATGTGGATGTCAGTTTTCTAGAAAATAACCGAATGTTTTATAATGGTTATAATCTTCGTTTACATTTGAAGTTTTGTTTTTTATAAAATCATTTGCCAGAAGAATTTAATGATCCACTGTAAACCACTGATCCACTGTTGCCCGCACTCTCCTCTATATAATTACGACCTTCTCCAGAAGATAGCGAAACTTTTTTTCTTTTTTGCAAAAAAAAAAACATGCCCTCTTTTTGCAAAATAATAAAAGTATAATAATAATTTTCCCCAAGTGTATATAATAATAAAAAGCAGTTTTTATTTTTTTACAAAATAAATTATAAATGAGGTGCTTTCTCAAAATTATCGCGAAATTTTAGTATTGTGAAAATAAAGAAATGAGATCCTTATTTTTAAACGATCAATTTTGTACGATATCATAAAAATGTCTTTTTCCATAATTCTGAATACATATATATATAGATATGCCTCTTACTGCAATTATAGCGGTAGATTGGATGCATCTGTATCTACAAGTATTCTCGCACGTATATACCAATACAGATTCATGGAACATGACAATAACATTCGGTAAGTACGTGTTTGTAGTTACCCCTGAGGTGAGCCACCCCCGTGATATAAGCGAAGCCACGCCTCAATGTTACATTGTCGACATGGGGTTGGTTGGCACGGGGGTGGTATAATAGAGGGCGGTTCCCTTTTCATGCAACTATTTCGCTTTTATGTCCCAGAGTCTCGTAGCATATGCGCGATAGAGACGATACTGACTTTGCTTCGTTTCGCGTATAACAAACCCCGCGTGGTGGACAGTCGCACGAAAAACATACCCTTAGATAGTTTATCATCGTATGACACTTATCTGTTTTTATCAAATTTATTATCTCATCACTTCGTATTGTTTTTTTTTTGCCAAAAAGGATTTTTGTGAAAACGCATTTTTTTTTTTTTTTGACGTGAATTTGTGTGTTTATAATATTGTTTGTTTATCAAGAAGATATTATTTATCGTTCCACGGAAGTGACTTCTTTATCCGCAAGTAAGTATAATTATTAGTTCAATATTGTTTCTTTTATATTATAAATATTTATTTATTTTTTATTTGAATTTACGATTTTGATTCAGAGTGGAAAAGAAATTATTTTTATCAGCAGAAATTCTTATTATGAAAAAGGAAAAGAGGTAAATAGATTTGTTTTGTGAGAAAATAGACAGTAGCGCCATCTGTCGGATTAGTAGTATTTACTATTCTTTTTGTATTTCATATACAATTTTAGTAAATTTTACTATATATTTTATAGTCGATTTAGAAATTAATGGTTTTTAGTAAAACAAATTTAGTGGATTTATTTTTATTGCCATACACTTTTCATTTCGTATTTGTTATTAAAACATAACCTCTTTAAAAATTTTGTCATTGATTAAAAAAGATTGCTTTCAACTATAGAAATTAGTTCTGAAAATTTGTCAACAAATTTTTAAGTACAAAAATTTATTTATTTTATTAAAATTTATTATTATTGAAATTTTTTTTATAAAAAAAATTTATTTGATTAAAATAATCAGTTTCTTGACTATTATCAAATAAATATTTACTTGAACCAGATAATTTTTATTTGTATTATATTTGATAATAATAATTATCAAAAGTAATTAATAAATACTAATTAATGAATGCCATTTAATTTAGTATAATTAATTAATTATAATTAATATTACAATCAGAGAAATGGTATATTTGTCTCCGAGCCTACTAACTCATTTATTTGTTGCAAATATATTTTATTTCATTTAAATAAGAAATTTATTTGAGCCAAAGAGATATTTATTTATGACAAATAAAATTTTTATTTACGCCAAATAAATAAGTTAGTAGGCTCTGAGACAAATATATACGTTTATTTAACTCAAATATATTTTATTTGGTTCATATACAAGTAATTTCCCTGGATGTAGTAGTGGAATTTTTTCTTGCATTTATGTATTATTATTATTATTATTATTATTATTAAAATGATCGAATAATAATTATTTAGTAGGTACAAATAAATATTTATTTAATAATAGTCAAGTAACCGATTATTTGGATCAAATACATTTTTTTTCAGTGTATAATGAATTAAAAAACATGAAAATTTTAAAACCTTGAACCGACTAGAATTTAGCCAACCATGGGCAAAATAAGAATTCATTATCTTTATATTATCTTCATGGATGTCAAAATTTTGGTAATATTTATAAAATTTTTTTAATTTTTATAACTTAAAAAATATTATTTTCTCGCATAGTTGGCAAAAATTATTCAATCAATGTCGAAAATGTATATTTATCCCTTCGTCAAAAAATTCATTAAAATCTTAAATTTCCTTATATTGTTGTGCTTCGCAAATTTCCTCAACATTAATGCAATGAGTGTCGAATATCTCGTTTTATATATTTTTTTTAGGAAAAATAAACGCACACTGCTCCGATAAAAGATGTGCGCAACTCTCTTTTTTAAAAAAAGAAGAAAATAGGCGGCAAGAATAAATTGATAGTCGATTCACGGCTTCGGATAAACTGGTCCCACGAGACCAAAACAAGGGTTCGGTTTCACCATAGTATTATGTAGCAGGTTCGTCGCTCCTCACAAGCAAACACCATAAACTGTTTGCTTTGGGATTAGCCATAGAGAGTCGCGCGTATATATGAGAATTATACTTTCAATGGGCCAAAGTTTTAAAGGAACTTTTAGAAAACACAATTTTCTTTCCGATAAGAATTAATTTTAAAAATAAAACTCGTCGGGACACAGGTGATTTTTCCGACGGTTCAATTTTTTTTTTTTCATGTTGTTGCTCGTAAAAGCAATTTTACAAGTTGTAAGTAGTTTTCTACATGGCTGCGCACACAGTCGAGGAGGACACTTCAAAATGAGAATTAAGAGAAAAAATTTTCCCTAGGGAATAATATGAAATCAAAATCCCTTTGGCGATTTGTTAATCTGACAAAATAGTAATTGGAGAAAATATGTATAAAGAATAAATTAACTACAAATGCTAACGAATATATTTTTTGTTGAAAAAATTTGCTACAGCAACTAAAATGTTTACTATATAGGATGTGCTAAAAAATATTTGGAGAATGATTTGGAAAAATTTTCAATAAAAATAATCTTGATCGTGATTTACAAAAACAACACTATAGTGTTTTAAAGATTCTATAGAATCTTAAGATGGAAAAATAAAATGAAAGACTACTTTTTAAGTGAGGAGATAGGACCACCACTCATCGATGCAATTTAATTATTAAAGTATCATCCCAACGATATTTAATCTCTTAATACCCTTGAGGGATTCCAATACCCTCTGGCAGTAAATGGTTGTTTGAGAGCGACAGATGAAAATGCACCGCATTCTGGATATAATAAAATATGAAACGCTATATACGAGATGCAAGTCAACAAGACTCTAAAAGATTATACATATATATACATATTCCCCATTTTTAAGGATCAAGTCATAATTAAAACCTATTGTGTAATGAGGGGGAAAAAAATTCACCATACATTTGCAGCCGAAGGAAATTAGTGTTTAAAGAAAATTTAATCAAAATTTTTTTAGAATTTTATTATAAATTATAATACTTTGGCTATCAATTCTGTAATTTTTCACTTTTTATTTCCCAATATCTACTTTCGAACTATCCACATTCTACTTTTCTACCTACAACTTTTCTTTTCCCACTTTCTACCTTCTTCTTACTACTTTACACCTACTACTTTCCATCTACTATTTTCCCTTCCCACTTTATAGTTTTCATTTCCCTTCTACTAGTTTTCCCTTTCCACTTCCTACTTCCCACCTACTACTTTTCTTTTCTTACTTTCTACCTCCCACTTTATATTTTCCAACCAGTAGTTTTTTTCTTCTATTTTCTACTTCCCATTTTCCACCTTATACTTTCTACTTCCCACCTACTGATTTTCTCTTGCTATTTTGTACTTTCCATTTCCCACCTACTAGTTTTCTATTCCCACTTCCTACTTCCCACCTACTGCTTTTCTTCTTCCACTTTCTACTTCCCATTTTCCACCCTCTACTTTCCACTTCCTACTTCCCACCTACTGCTTTTCTTTTCCCACCTACTACTTTCCACTTCCTACTTCCCACCTACTGCTTTTCTTTTCCCACCTACAACTTTTCTACTTCCCATTTTCTATACCTTATACTTTCTACTTCCCACCTACAGATTTTTCTCTTCCTACTTTGTACTTTCCATTTCCCACCTACTAGTTTTCTATTTCCACCTTCTACTTTGTACTTTCTATTTCCCACCTACTAGTTTTCTATTTTCTCCTTCTACTTTACACTTCCTCCTTCCCACCTACTGCTTTTCTTTTCCCACTTTATACTTTCCATTTCTCACCTACTAGTTTTCTATTTCCACTTCCTACTTCCCATTTTCCACATTCTGCAGTAGGTAGGAAGTATAAAGTAGGAAAGTATAAAATAAGAGGGAGAAAGAGGGAAGAGAAAAGTAGTAGGTGGGAAGTAGGAAGTGGAAATAGAAAACTAGTAGGTGGGTATGGAAAGTATAAAGTGGGAAGAGAAAAGCAGTAGGTGGGAAGTAGGAAGTGGAAATAGAAAACTAGTAGGTGGGTATGGATAGTATAAAGTGGGAAGAGAAAAGCAGTAGGTGGAAGTAGAAAGCAGAAGGTGGAAAATGGGAAGTATAGGTAGTAGGAAATGGAAAGAGAAAACTAGTGGGTGGAAATTATAAATTGGGAAATAGAAAGTGGGAAGAGGATAGTAGTAGGTGTGAAGTAAAAAGTAGTAAGTGGAAAGGGAAAACTAGTAGGTGAGAAATTTAAAGTAGGAAATTGAAAGTAGAAGGTAGAAAGTACGTTGGAAGTGTAAAAATTACAGAATTGCAGAAGGTTAAAAGAAATTAATTTTTTTCATCACACAAAATAATTTTTTTCAGATAGGTTTTTTTTTAATGTGAAATGTTATATTAAACATACAAGTCAAACAGTAAATGAAAAGCGAATAATGTGGATTGAATTTTTTTTTGTTTTTGAAAGCGTTGTGAAAGTTTGGAATGGTGGTTGAAATGAAAATTGTAGAAATAGGAAGTTGAAGCATAGTATATATATATGTATATGTATAGAGAGAAAAAGATAAAAAGAGAGTGAGAGAGAGAGAGAGAAAATCAGTGCCGTGAGCTCTCTGATTATTTAAATGCAAACACAATGTTGTAGCTTCGCTACATTGTTCCCCCGCTCGGTTATTTTACAATTCAATCTGCCGTCCTCGCATGTAGTCTCATTCCACTGGTGGTCCTGGCACGGGACAAAGAGGGCGAGTTGGTACACGGGAAACTCGCTGACTGGGTTCGTTCATTGTAACGTTGTTAAATCTCCGTACTTCCATCATGTCTACATCTACATTTCTACAATCTACATCACGGTACCGCATCAAACCTCACTTCTCCCTCCCCCACCCACCACCTACACTCATCTCACAGCTCAGCAGTACTGGTACATGTTCCTCTCTCTCACTTTACCCCCCCCCTCGCTCCCTTCCACCCCTAGAAACTTTCGAAGCGTACCCTCGGTAATTGCACCCGTCTCTCGAACTCTCTGCATGATTTATGAACTCTGATCTCTCGGGATCTGTTATCTTCGTTTTCTTTTCACGTTTTCACTATCTTTCTCTCTCGTTCTCTCTCCTTAAATCGGACTGTTTGTCCTCAATCGGGTACTTTGCTTCAAATTTAATCCTTTTCAATTTTAGTTATTTTGTAACTGTATATTATAATAATCACTGTAAAATCGAGTATCTTATTTTAAGACATAAGACGCATATTTGGGAAATGCGTCTTAGAGTTGTAAAAGCTTGTCTCAACTTTTTCTCATTTTGGTTAAGTAAATATTTAAAACGTATATTCCATCATTGGTTAAAATGTAAGACACTATAAAATGTCTTAAAAATTAGAACAACACTGCAAAAATACTCTCTATATTTGAATGAGGTACTTTTGAGTATAATTTAACTG